AACACAGGGTTCTAAGAATATAATAACAGCTCATACTTGGATTGTTCTTATAATGGACTAGGTACTGATCTTAGTACTTTATATATGTTAACTTATTTAGTCTATATAAACTCCTGCAAGGCAGATACTTTTTTTTTTTTGGTACCGAGGATTGAACTCAGACATTCAGGGGCACTCGACCACTGAGACAAATCCCAGCCCTATTTTATTTATTTAGAGATAGAGTTTCACTTTTTTTTTTTACACAATATCTTTATTTTATTTTTTATGTGGTGCTGAGAATAGAACCCAGTGTCTCATGCTTGCCAGGTGAGCACGCTACTACTTGAGCCACATCCCCAGCCCCACTTAGTGCAACTTTGGCTGAGGCTGGCTTTGAATTCATGATCCTCTTGCCTCAGCCTCCTGAGCTGCTGGGATTGCAGGCATGTGCCACTGCACCCGGCAGCAGGTACTTATTATTCTCACTATTTTCAGGCAGGAAAATTGAGGCCCAAAGAAACGAAGTAACGTGCCCAGGGTCGGGCCACTTAGGAGGCTCACAGCTAGGATTTGAACTTAAGTCTGCCACTGGAATCCTGACTATATAATATCATTATATGATAGTATAATCGTATAGCTATCTATTTGATTCTCTGAATGTTTTCAATTGTACATGTTAACAATAAAAATCTGCACTCGACAATTTAAAACATCTTTGCATTCCAGTGCCTGACACCAGGCTGGTACTTAATAGTGCATTTGTCATCTGAATGACTGACTATAGAAGACTCCTAGCACTCCTTGCAGAAATCTCATTGGGTAGGAAGACGAAAAGAACCCCAGGAATGTGGAGCCCCACCAGATTCAGTGCAGAGAGCACCCGCCTGCCCTGGCCAAGTGAGATGGCCATGTTTTGTGCAGGGATTCAGTGACCTCAGGTGTGTCACTGGGTTCCAAGTTCACACCTGTAGGAGGAAGGGCTTGACTAGGTAGTCTCTGTCTCTGAGGTCCTTTCTATCTCAAACTTTTCATAATAAAAGAGTCCATTTAAATTCACAGTCAAGGTTACTGAGAGCTAGGACACTGTTCTGAATCCTCACAATGATCTTATGAGCCAAGTTCTATTATTCCCATGGAAGCTGAGGCTTCAGGAAGGTAAATAGATTTCTCAGGGATTCAGCGGTGGTTAATGATGGAGTCAGAATTCAAACTCGGTTATACCTCAACCCCCACTTTTTAGCCCTATTGCTATTCTTGAACTTTATCCCCGATTACAAATACCTACTCCAGGAACTCTTCTCTTGGAAAATTACAATTTAGCCTGGAACCACTAAGAATCTTGGAAGGAAAGGGATCTACAGTCAGAGGGTCATTGCTGGAGATAGGAGAGCCCCGGGGGGCAGAGAAGGAGGAAGCAGTGACATCATAGGACACAAGCCTTACTCTTTGAAGGAGGCGTAATACTGGTTGACAAATTCAATAGCTTGAGGTAGAAGCTCATCCAGAGAGATAGGCTTGTCCCTGGGTCCTCTGGTTAAACTTTTGGGGTTCATGATTGACCCCAAGCAAGACTTAGACTTGCAAGTGAAATCCTGGAAAGACAGAAGCAGGTCGTTAGCATAGAGTGTCAAGCCTACTCTGCTGGCCTGGCCACCTCCCTGCTCTCTGGATGCTTCCACTCCCCACACCTCCTCCACCCTGTGGCACCTTTTCCTTAGGATCCAGGAGCTTGGGCTTTCTCCCCACCCAGACCTCCTCTTCTTTACTGGCTGAGTC